TAATTGCACTATCCTCCAAAAAATAAAATGACTAATACTCTTCTGGAGGACTCGCCCATATGGGCAACCGGTGGCGAGTATAAATAAACGCAAATACACACACACACACATAGCGAAAGCTGCATTTTTAGCCTGTACGGGTAGCCAGTCCGGCTTAGCTCAGTCGGTTAGAGCGCGAGACCTGTAATCTCAACATTTCGGGTTCGATTCCCGGGTTGGCTTACTAAAATTACTAATCAGAAATTAAATCGAGGTCCCGTGTATGGGTGCTTAAACACTTGACACGCTAAAGAACCAGGAGAAGCTTCTGGCATTGGGACATCTTTCTGTATCTGTTATTGCACTATCCTCCAAAATCTAAAATGACTAATACTCGTCTGGAGGACTCGCCCATATGGGCAACCGGTGGCAAGTATAAATAAACGCAAATACACACACAAACACAGCATCATTGGTAATGCACGGAGGTAAATTGTCAACTTTTTGTGCTTGGTGACATGTCCGGGGTCCGTACTCGACAGCGAAAGCTGCATTTTGTGCCCGTACGGGCGGATGGACCGTCATTAAGCATAGACTATAGATAGATAGATTACATCATTGGTAACAACTGAAACTTTGATCTGCAGTTTAAACATGAGGTGTATGGTTTTTTCTATGAAAGGTTTTAAAGCAATTTAGCAAAAAGTATATTGATCTCCTAATAAATCAATTAACAATAGCTCTTTATATATCACCCATGTCAAGTAGCTTTTATATCTTTGACTCGCACGAACATGATGTTAGTTCTGCCTAAAATTCAGGTAACGGTCTTCTATCAGTATTTAAAGAAACCATATTTTTTAATTTGACATGAAAAAAATGCATGTAATATTACTATATTATAATATTAGTCCCTTTTGTTACTATTTGTATATTTGTTACAATTATAATTATAAAAAACAGACTTTGATATTTTTATCATCTTATGTTACTGACTACAGTAACACAGTACAGTCATGTCAAATAACATTTACAAGTCTTGTCAGTCTTGTTTGTATTCAATCCTTACCAGGTAGGCATCAATGAAAGCATTTTTTCAAATTAAATATCTGGCCCCTCTTTTTAATTATGGACAGTGCATAAGATAAGTATAACAATGCAAAAAAATCTACAATAGTACTTAATCTGAATATAACATGACCTGTGCGTAGGAATAATTTGGTAAGGTATCTGTAATGAGCGCATTTTTTGCGCGGAGCTTCTTAATTGCTGCATTGCAGCAACATTTGTACTTGTATATTTAATAGAAACAAAAATTGCAAATTATGTTTTAGTTGTACCACCATCATTAATGGTTAAACTCAATACACAGATTATTCTGTATTGGCGAATTAGCAAATAACTAGCATTTGGTCATTTACAAAGTCATATTTATAACGATCTCGTGATTTACACAGATATTATACATGTATAAGTATGCATATATATAAATCTATATAAAACAACAGATATCATTTTTCACAACAATTGTGCACAAATAAAACGATCAAAAGCAAGTTAAAACAAGAGGGCCATGATCGCCCTGAGTCGCTCATCAGAAACAACTGCTTTTCAGTGTTGGAATGTCAATATATTCTAATATCAAATTTGAGCATAGAATATGTTTAAACAATAATTTGAAGAAATGCCATGACCTGGATTATTAAAGCTTTAGCTTAAACGGGGCTAATCAAATTAATAAGAAATTTGATATAACTACCTAAGAATGCTACAAAGTTTGGTGATCATCTATCAATTATTTCAATAGGAAATGATGTTCAAAGGTTTTTTTCTATTTTAACTTTAGTGGCCCCTAAAAGGGGCTAATCAAATTAATATAAGCAAACTTGATAAAAGAGTACCCAAGAATGCTACAGTCAAAGTTTGGTGATCATCCATTGATTGGCTCTGAATTAGAAGATGTTCAAACGTATTTCTATTTTTAATTTTAGTGGCCCCTAAAAGGGGCCAATCAAATTAATATGAGCAGCCTTAATAAAAGACTACCAAATAATGCTACAGACATAGTTTGGTGATCATCCATCCATTAGTTCTGTAGCAATAGACGTTTAAATGTATATCTATTTTTAATTTTAGCAGACCCTAAATGGGACCAATCAAAATAATATGAGCAAACGTGATAAAAGACTACCCAACAATGCTTCAGACAAAGTTTGGGGATCATCCATCCATTAGTTCTGAAGAAATAGACAGTTAAAGGTGTTTCTATTTTTAGCTTACGCCGCCCCTAAAAGGGGTTAATCAAATTAATATGCGCAAACTTGATAAAAGACTACCCAAGAATGCTACAGACAAAGTTTGGTGATCATCCATCGATTGGCTCTGAATAAGATGTTTAAACGTATTTCTATTTTTAATTTTAGTGGCCCTTAAAAGGGGCCAATCAAATTAATATGAGCAGCCTTAATAAAAGACAACCCAAGAATGCTACAGACAAAGTTTGGTGGTCATCCATCCATTAGTTCTCTAGAAATAGACATTTTTAGGTATTTCTATTTTTAGCTTTTGCGGCCCCTAAAAGGGGCCAATCAGTTAATATGAGCAAACTTGATAAAACACTACCCAAGAATGCTACCGACAAAGTTTGGTGATTATTCATCAATTAGTTCTGTAGAAGAAGATGTTTAAAGGTTTTTCTCTTTTTAGCCCTAGAGACCCATAAAAGGGGCCAATCAAAATAATATAAGCAAACTGGATAAAAGACTACACAACAATGCTTCAGACAAAGTTTGGTGACCATCCATCCATTAGTTCTGTAGAAATAGACAGTTAAAGGTATTTCTATTTTTAGCTTACGCGGCCCTTAAAAGGGGCCCATCAAATTCATATGAGCAATCTTGATAAAAGACTACCCAAGAATGCTACAGAGAAAGTGTGGTGATCATCCATCAATTAGTTCTCTAGATATAAACATTTAACGGTATCTCTATTTTTAGCTAGAGAGACCCCTTAAAGGGGATAATCAAATTAATATGAGCAAACCTGATAAAAGACTACCCAAGAATGTTACCGACAAAGTTTGGTGATCTTCCATCAATTAGTTCTGTAGAAATAGACATTTTAAGGTATTTCTATTTTTAGCTTTTGCGGCCCCTAAAAGGGGCCAATCAAATTAATATGAGCAAACTTGATAAAACACTACCCAAGAATGCTACCGAAAAAGTTTGGTGATCATCCATCAGTTAGTTCTGTAGGAGAAGATGTTTAAAGGTTTTTCTATTTTTAGCCCTAGAGACCCCTAAAAGGGACCAATCAAAATAATATTAGCGAACTTGATAAAAGAATACCCAAGAATGCTACAGACAAAGTTTGGTGATCATTCATCAATTAGTTCTGTAGAAATAGACGTTTAAAGGTCTTTCTATTTTTAGCTTTAGCGGCCCCTAAAAGGGGCCAATCAAATTCATATGAGCAAACTTGATAAAAGACCACCTAAGAATGCTACAGACAAAGTTTGATGATCATCCATCAATTAGTTCTGTAGAAGAAAATGTTTAAAGGTTTTTCTATTTTTAGCCCTAGAGAACCCTAAAAGGGGCCAATCAAATTAATATGAGAAAACTTGATAAAAAACTACCCAGGAATGCAACAGACAACGGTTGGTGATCATCCATCTATTAGATCAACAGACAAAGTTTGGTGATCATCCATCCATTAGTTCTGTAGAAGAAGATGTTTAAAGGTTTTTCTACTTTTAGCTCTGCTGACCCCTAAAAGGGGCCAATTGGAATGACATGAGCAAATTCAAGTGTGTCTGTCACAAGGATGCTACAGACCAAATTTGAAGTAAATCTGCCTAGTAGTTTCAGATAAGAAGACGATTGTTAACGCATGACGACGGACGACGGAGCATCCCCCTTTGATACTAATAGCTCACCCTGAGCCTTCGGCTCTGGTGAGCTAAAAAACAAACAAAAACAACAACAACAACAAATATTATATAAAAAAAACAAGAATAAAGATCAACAAGTTAAAGGCAACGTGAAAAAGGGAGAAGGTAAAAAAAGGAGGCGGGAGGATCCACGGTAGGGAATCACGTGACTTTTACGGTTACGCGTACAGACAATATGGCGGCCTAAAAACCTCGCTTCACATGTGTTTTTCAGGTAATTCTTTATTATATCCCTTTTACTTACATACGAGACCTGTTGCAGCCTACGCAGAATAAAGAATTGTTGCCGCCTATACCTTATTTTCCACCCCTGTGCTCATAGCTTTTACAAACACTCAAAAATTCAACAGAAATTTTCAATGTAAACAATTATATTTCGGGTAACATTCACGCAAAATTTGTATTTTTTATGAATTTGATTAAACTACGTCGATTTAGCAAAGAGAAAATGTTAATAGAATTTCTTTATTTGAAAATGTAAATATTAGGCATGTTAAATGTTGACTGGTCATTTTCTATTCCATTACACGAGAGAAAAATGATTTTGGTAACTCCCACGCATACTTTTATTGTTGATAACTCCCACGCAATATTTTATGTGCAGGCAATATCTATGCAGGTTATAGCCTAGATATTGATTGAAAAAAATCATGATTGATGCATTTAGCATCAAACTTTCATAGAATTTTGAATAATATTAAAAATACCGCAAATAGGTCCTTGATAGAAGTAACCCAGCAGACACATCAACGGTGAACAACGTTGAAGTATGATCAGATTTCAACGTTGAAATAACGTTAGATTTATGTTCGAATTTGAAAGTTTAAAAAACGTTGAAGTTCAACGTTGGCACAACGTTTAAGTTTCAATGTCATTTCAACATACTTTAATATAAATATAAAGCAAAGTACTGTACGTAACAGAGTTTAACAAAAAATCAAGACACTATTAAATACTTCAGCTATTTTATTTCAAAACTACAGTTCAAGTGTAGCTAAAATTCAAAACGATTTAAGAAGTCCTTTTAGTTTAACAATTAAGCTACAATCTGTTCCAATCTACCACTAGTTCTTCTTCTAGAGCTCTCTGTGGTATGTCTAAAGTGTGTCATGATGGTGTTTGAATACTTCTACTGCTTCTGCAAATAAAATAAGAAGTTACATGTTAAAATTGACTTGGTCAATCTCAAATTATATATAATTAATCAACTTAGTGATTTGTTTTTATCTTAAAATGCTTATCTTCTAAGATTTACATAATAAAACAGCATATAGAAATTAAGATACAGCTGAAGTTTCATATTGACAGTAAATTATGTACAAAAACAACAAAAACTTTTTAAAAAGAAGCTATTTAACCCTTAACCTCATATATACGCGAAACAACGCACTTTCGACCCCCCCCTTTTTTTAGACCTGAAATAGTGAGAAAATGTCCTATTTTTCCCCAAACACATGTTTTCGTTTGAGAAATGTTGTTAAAAAAAAGTGAGCACTTTTTCGGCGCCGCCCCCTGTCCAAAAGATACTTCAGGGGGTTGCCAGAAGGGGGATGTGCCCCCTTCTTTTTGGGGGGTTTGAAGGGGGGCGGAGTCCCCCTCATCACAAAGAAAATTTTGGACTTGTGAGAGGCTTTAAATGACACCAGGTCGATCATAAGGTAAGGTGTAACCAACGCTGAAAAGCCTTTGACTCTATCTCAATCCCTTGAGAAGTTGCAGCACTTTGAAGTAAATTTTGATGGAAAAAATCGAGGCAAAATAGTGATTTTTGGCAATTTTGAGATGTCCCCTCGTTGCCATGGTAACAGGAAATTTAACTTGAAAGAGGAGGCTTTTTCAGTGAAAATGGCCATTTTTTACTCAATATGCTCATGGGTGAAAGGGTTAACTTAAAAAAATTATAAATGTTACAAAACAACAATTATTCACCAAATTTAGGTAAAAAGACCACATGTTAACATGTAAAAACTAGATTTTGGGTGATTCAAAAGTTTTTCATCATTTTTTGTTAGCCCTTTACCCCTCGTTGCCATGATAACAGGAAATTTAAGACTGAGCATGTCGTTACAAAAGCAATGGTCCAGTCAACATTTGTGCCAAGTTTGATTAGTATTGAATCATTTTTCATAGTTTCATAGCAGTTTGAACTTGTAAGAGGGGGCTTTTCAGTGAAAATGGCCACTTTTCACAAATATGCTCATGGGGGAAAGGGTTAAGTCTGACCTATGATTGGTAAGAAAAACTGCTCCCATCAGTTACGTCAGCATTTTCCCAAGAACAGTCCTTTCCATGTTAAATTTATGGTATAGAAGCTACAGCTGTAATACTTTAAATTTCAGCCAGGACCAGGATCTAGAATATAAAATAAACTTATTATTCCCTATATATTCACGGCAATTAAACTTAAAATTTAACACTCAACTTTATTATTTAACCACAAACAGTTTAATCAATATTTATTTTGAAAATGCAATGGATTTAATGTATTTTTCAAACTAATTCACATTTAATTTTACTATTACTAAGATATAAAATTAATACAGCTAAATTGACGAATCGTCTTGGGGCGTAAATTATATGGGGCGAACAACACTGCATCTGCTTATAGGTTACAATAATATGATAAATAAATTTCAAAAAGGCATGGCTTGTAAAATCATAAATTGCCAAGGACATCAATAACTTCGCGTAAGGCCTACCAAACCCAAAACATTCAATTAGGTCGCGTTTTGATACAAAAGTCCAAAATATTAGAAGGAGGTTTTGTATTTCTGTTTTTATTAGTAAAATTACAGTTGTCATTTTTCATATTTTGCAGATATGGAAGGTTCCATCTCGGATATTGTTTGTGATAAATGTGGGAAACATTTTATTCGCGGATAGGTCTCAAATATTGACCACATGAACGGTCTACGAGGCACAGGACCTTATAAATGTTGTGGTAAAACATTTTATAGCCCAGCAAATCGGAAACGTTACGGGTTTTACTGCTGATATTAAGATGACATTCAAACATAAGACCTCTAGATTTTATTACCTAGTTTGTAAAATAAAAGACCCATTCTAATATACTTTAGGTTGTTTTCTTTTATGCTTTAGATTAAAAAAAAACACACACAACATAATAATGTTAAATACAGACACTAATTTGAAAAAAGTTGGTTTCATAAAAGACTAAGTGATAAAATGACTTGAATGTCTTTAACATCTTAATATAACGAATAACATAAAATGCCATACCTGTCACGTTTCGATTTGTCACAACATTTACAAAGTCCTGTGCCGAGTAGCCAGTTTATGTGGTCATTAAGACAAATGTTGCTCAACATTATCCACAAACAATACCCGAACTGGAACAGCCCATATCTGCAAACTATGAAAAATGACAACTGTAATTGTGCTTATACTGAAATCGACCTCCTTCTTATATTTGAGACTTTTATTTTAATTTCTGCGATTAATTCATCTATATCGAAACTTCATTAATATATTCACGTGAGTATGTATTTCTGCTATCCATAGGGGCTTTCTTCTATCCAGGACCTTTTGGCGGTATTTTTAATATTATTCAAAATTCTTTGAACGTTTAAGGCTAAATGCATCAATCATGATTTGTTCAATCAATATATAGGCTATAACCTGCATAGATATTGCCTGCCCATAAAATATTGCGTGGGAGTTATCAACAATAAAAGTATGCGTGGGAGTTACCCAAATCATTTTTCTCTCATGTTTTGGAATAGAAAATGACCAGTCAACATTTAACATGCCTAATATTTACATTTTCAAATAAAGAAATTCTATTAACATTTTCTCATTGCTAACTCGACGTAGTTTAATCAAATTCATAAAAAATACAAATTTTGCGTGAATGTTACCCGAAATATAATTGTTCACATTGAAAATTTCTGTTGAATTTTTGAGTGTTTGTAAAATCTATGAGCACAGGAGTGGAAACTAAGGTATAGGCGGTAACAATTCTTTATTCTGCGTAGGCTGCAACAGTTCTCGTATGTAAGTAAAAGGGATATAATAAAGAATTACCTTAAAAACACATGTGAAGCGAGGTTTTTAGGCCGCCATATTGTCTGTACGCGTAACCGTAAAAGTCACGTGATTCCCTACCGTGGGATCAGATAATACAAAAAAAACACATTAAGGTAAAAAATCTTGACACATTAGTACATATTAAATTTAGAAAAGAAATTCATTTTCGATTTTAGAAACATTAAAATAGATCGAAATAAAGAATCCTTAAAGAACGTACAAAACGACAAAATTAAGAATGATGCAGGCCATGTTTGAATAACCCGGTTCATGGACGGTAATGGAATGTGCAAGTTACCGTCCACGACCTCTAGCCACCGCCTTAAGCAGTATTCTACATTTAACATGAACTGGCAAAATTTGGAATTTTGAACCATCCGCAGATGTGTATATATGGCGATTATCATGGGACCTTCAATTTAACACGGTAGTGCCAGCCCATGAAAAGCGGATGATAATTATGATATTGTACTTTGTAGCTTCACTTTGTAAAAACGAAGTTATGAAAATTTTAAATTGAAACAAAATATAAGGAGTTTTGGTGCATATTGAATTTTTGAAATTGCAATTTAATTAAAAGTGTTTATTATTGTCTGTCTAGACCTCAAAACATAATTAGAAAAATGTAAAGGGTATACATTTTTTCTTATTAATGAAATCGTATTTCAGTCTAACATCTGTAATGCGTGTTTGATAATATTATTATCTGATCATTTGTTAAGTTTTTTTATGGCCCAAGCACTTTGAACAACGGCGGCGTTCAATGAACGGTCGTTCGCGGATGTCCTGCGAACGTTGTCTATGCTTTGTTAGTCTTTATTCTTGTTTTTTAGTAACAAAAAAATAACTAACTCACTTTAGGTTTCATTTTACCCTGATTTCGTTTTGCTTGTTAACAAATTGAAATTTAGATAAGTCACTTTGCAGCTTACTAATTCCAAATTCTCAGCCACAATGCAACTTTACAAACTTCTGTCAGATCGATACAAATCAGCCTCAGTTTACTGAACTATACAAGGAACTGACGGATTATATTTTGAAGTATGTGGACGCTAGATATCAATCGCTGCTACCGTCGACTGTTCAAGCTCAATTAAACGGAACCAATAAGATTTATTAAAATAGTCTTTTTATATTTTTTTTTATTAAAATAATCTTGTTTAGTGATCGTTACAAAAAAGTACGCCTAACTCAAAATAATGTTTTAATAAGTTGAAGTTATATGAGATATTGTACTTTCAGTTACTTTATAACCTTTTAAAACGCCCTTCCCTTAGGAATATTTTATTACAATCTAAAAAATGAGATAGAATTTACATTAATTGCTTTTATATAATATTAAGTGTCATTCACTATGCTGTACTGTAATCATTATCCACTCCCTTGGATAAATTTCATGCTATCAGAGGGTTTTTGTTATTTTGTCAATGAAAAGATCGCCCTTTGTTAAAATTACGCTAAACGGCATATAACGCAATTATGACGTTCATGACATCATTTTAACAAGTTGCACAAACAAAATGGATTCCGGATGTGCAACAAATATAAAAACAAATTTGCTAGGCACAGTGGTAATAGGACAGAAGGAGGCTGCAAGCATGAAATAAATTAGTGATATGTCCCTACATGGACAGATAATAGATATCCGCTTTTTTAACAGTAAGTACAATAAAGGATAGCGGAACTGAGGAAATGCGTTTCAGGTGAAAGATATAACGAGAAAATGTAAATATGGATTCTATTCTGTCTTAGTATTTCAATGTCAAAAAATATTCAACAGACACGAAAAAAGCATATCCAATGATACACAAAATGCCAGATACTACGAAACGCCCATATGCAGTAAATGTTTAATCAGCAATTGTGTATAACTTAAAAATGTGCTCCCTTAAATGTGTGAAAATGGTACTGTTGAAAGTACGTGAGAAGAAACATTGACATTACATTTTATCAAGTACCTTTCAGTGGACGATTGAGACAAATTTCTTAAAAATGCCTTTCAAATAATATGCGTTTCATCTGAGTGAAACTATATTGTCAAATATTAAATTGCCATTTGAGTAAAAGAAGATTCCTGTAAGGGATGTTTGTGGTGAGTTAATAACAGTTATTCCTTTAATATGTTTGAGCGATCCGTATTTGAGATATATGACATTTTCAGAGGCGATGGTTAATCACGTTAAATGATATCATTAATATTATCACACTGAAATTGTAGAAGAAAACAACAGGGCTGTAAAGGTCAAGTAAACAATAAGATAAAACAATAATAATAAACATATTACATAAAAAATAATATGACCTTAAAGAGATGTTTCACTTTTCAAAATATGTCATTGCATCTTTGTAAACCAAACAAATAGTAATAATATCATTACATTTCATTGTTGCAATATAAGTCTAGATAAACTACTTTTGATACTACAAATAGAGGTATTTCTTTAAAATCTGTTCAAAGCACTATCAATAGTATATAATTACAAAAACTCAATTATTACCCTGATTCGCCCTTATGATAAATTAATGGTGTTTTAGTTTAAATTGTTTTTTTGTTTTTTTAAGATATACATATTTACGTTCAAGTTACTATGTACATTTCACAACAAAGCAAGATTTAACTTGCACTTTCCAGTACCGTCCATGAACAGGCTCAATAAAACCGAGCCTGCAACATTTTACAATTTTGCCGTGTTGGGCTTTCTTTAGGGATTCTGTTTTTTTCTGTTTATGTAATTTCTTATGTAATTTTGTTGTAAATTAATGCTTCCGAGGGATCACTTTGTTTCCAGATTTTTATACTTCACAACAGCAGGTGTCAAGTGCCGTGTGGCAGCTGTAAAAAGTTGCCCCGTACTTCACTTCATTGTTGTCAAATATTTCTCATCCTTCGGGATCATTGATGCCAGCACTATTAAGCGTTAAGAATTGAGTACCGCTCAAGCCGGTGCTAGTGGGTGTGAGGGATGCTGCACGTATTCATAATTCCTCATGTACAGACTCATTCTTACCGAGTTTGCAATTCTATTGTAATTTTGTTGTGATTTATGCTTCCGAGGTATCACTTTGTTACCAGATGTTTTAATACACTGTCTAATAGATCTTCGAATTACGAGTGTTCCACCAACCTTATCTCCTGAACAATTAACATGCATATGAAAAACAAGATCAACATGGAAGGTAGCATTCAATGAACGCAACATCAACACGACCAAGCAACACAGGCCCACAGCTAAGTTTTCAATGAAGAATTTACCTACTGCCAAAATTTAAGTGGCAAAAAAAACAGAGAAAGAAGTGATAAAAGAAGGGTTTAAAAAAGACAGGAATAGTAAAGATTTCAGAGCAATAAACTAGAAAAAGTAAGGTTCTCTGCCTTACTTATTTATGCAAACAAATGCAACCATGTCAATATTTATCCATTGCATTTATTAAAACCAGTCATTAGTGTCTTAACAACAAGATAGTCGGGAGATGGACATGAACTTTGAAGTTTTTTATCAAAACAAAATTCAAAATGTTTACAAAATAGATAAATACAGAATCCCTAAAGAAAGCCCAACACGACAAAATTGAAAATGTTGCAGGCTCGGTTTGATTGAGCCTGTTCATGGACGGTACTGGAAAGTGCAAGTTACCGTCCACGCCCACTATTAACAATGAGTATATCATGATAAAACAAGCTATTAGGAGTTAAAACCCTGGTTAAGATATGCATCGCCAGTTTTCCAAGTTTGTATCTAGTCTAAGAGTGAGTTTGAAGTGTATTAAAACATAGTTTAAGCGATGGTTTTTGTATTAGATTAGGTTAAATCTTACTGAATTCTTAGAGTTGCTTTTACTTACCTGCCCTTCACTTTTGTCTTGCAAGTATCATGATTGTGTTTGTTTGTTAGTTTAATTTGAAATAATGCTTGAGTTTAAAAAACAATCAGTTTTAAGTTTATTTCACTAGTCACGACAATAACCCAAATCTTTAAATCAAAGTAATTTTTTTATTTTGTATCAATTGTACCATCTCTAGTGCGAGGCGTTCCAATAAAACAGAAATTTATCGATATTTCTGCTAAAGCATTCATTTAAGTCAGAACAATCAATAATAATAATTAAAATAATAATAATAATAATAATAATATCATTATTATTATTATTAGAGCCAGACCTTTTCCGACTTTCTTGGTAATGTTTACCATGTGCTAGTTGCATGAAACAGTTATTTTTGAATTGCTAGATGAAAAAAATAGTAATCTGCTTATCAACAAACATTCAATGCCGGATAAATATGCAAGTATGTGTATAAAATGATAATGATAAAATTTTAGATCTATCTAGCAAAGGACATTGACATTTGCTTGTAGAATTTAAATTGTGGATATTGCATTCTAAAAAAAAAAGTAATGAATAACTTAAATTATTAG